TGAATAGAGTACAAGTCTAAAAGGGGCAGTTTTTAAAAAAAGAATAGAATTAGAATAGAGAGTGCTAGAGTTAGAGGGTCAAGTAAAGATGGAAGAGATTTGTTTTTAGCCAATTCTTGAAGAGAATGGCTGCTGGGATTGAATTGGGCAGGTCATTCCACCAGGAGGGAACATTTAATGTAAACGTCTGTGAAAGTGAATTTGTGCATGTGCCGTTCACTTGCAATACTCCAGGAACATCCTAGTAATTGCATAGCAATGCATTTGAAATCACTTAGAGCATAATAGCATTTTAAAGCCTAGTTTGACAAAGCTAGCACCCCTCAGATACTGTTCGGAAAATTTGCAAAAAAAAATATATATATATAATTTTATTATTTACATTTTTTACTTATTATTATTTTTTAAATCTTATTATTTTTACTATTAATAATTAATTGTCGATCATTTATGTATTAATAAATGATCAAGGATGTGTGCAAGGATCTTTACAGTGCTTTGTGCTGCGAAACTTGACAATCGCCTTTCTGGATTTTGGCGTTTGCTTGTACGGTGGCTCTGAATTGTCAAAACACCTCTCAAAATGCTTGCTACGGATGCGAAAAACGCAGAAAATCGAACCCAATCTGATTTTTTTTATGATGGACAAAAGTTTCAGAGGCAGTGTGTAAACGTGATTGACACAGTGTGAGGTCGTATTTATTTTTTAACGTACGTGACTCAGTGTGCAATGACCTTTAGAGGGTGCTTTTGGATACAACATAACGCATAAAAACACACAGAGTCTTTTTACCCTGGTAAAATCACTGTAACTCATTACTTTGAATGGCTTATTGCTCTAATGTCATAATATGTGTGTTTGTGTGTTTTCGACAGACTGATGACGATGACTACATGATGGAGAAACCCCTGGGTTACCTGCCTCTTCATCACGAGCTGGACAGCGGGCTCGGCTGGACGGATGGTAGCTTCCACCAGGGGGAGCTGTCGGGGGTGGAGACGGAGGAGGGGCTTGAGGAGCGCCACGGCGGGTCGCCGTCGTCTGAGTCGTTCATCTCGTCTGAACTGAGCGACTCGGGTTTTTACAGCGTCAGCACCGGCGAGTTCCTGCGCTTCCAGCGTCTGCTCGAGAAACGCATGCGCCATTACAACGCGCGCATGCACCACCAGGGGGAGCCGTGCTCTCGCGAGCGGTGCGACAGCCAGATAAAACACCCCCTAGAGGCCATCCCAGAAACGCTGACGGTGCAGCCTCAAAACGTCTGCGCGCCCATCCAAGGATCGCGCGGTTTGTCGCGCGTTTCGTCCATGCAGTACCGCAAGGCGGAGCGTCCGTGTTTGAACAGGCACAGCTCCAGCAGCGGCTCGCTGTTCAATCCTGTGCCTCTTCCGAGTTCTGCGGGAATGTTGAGAAGAAGCAGGACGCTGCATCACCGCCCCGCGCCAATGGAGTACCGCAGACGGGCGAGTCACCCGGCCTCACCCAACTATTGCAGGGCCACGCTGCATCCCTGCGGCCACAGAGTCGACCTGCCCATGAATCTCCCTGAGGAGCCGGACTTGGCACTTATGCACGCCATTGCACACCCTACACAAACTCTACACGCAATGAGTCAACCGTCCCTGATCTCTCCAGTTGACGAACACTGCTGCACGCCTCTGGATCTTCACGCCAACGGCAGGATCCGAGCATCCACCGAACCGCAGCTCCAGAGGAGCTTTGTGACCCAACAGACGCCCAACAACAGGTTCCACACTCTAAGTCACACGCCCAGTCAGGACAACGAAACCTGGCCGAAACCTGCCAACCGCGCGGGATCCGTTGGCGGACTCTACAGCACCTTGGAGGGCCACACGCCCGCTAGGAAACCACCCGGTGGGAATTTGCACGCTTTGCGAAACCAGATGCTGCGGGATCGAGCGTCCAGATTGGCGGACGAGCGTAGCGGCATGAGCACGGACGAAGAGAGTCACAGTGAGGTCCGCATGGGTCGCTACTGGAGCCGCACCGAGCGCCGCGAACACATGCTGCAGAAACAGCGACAGGCCAGAAACAACAGCGGCTGCGGCGTAGCTGCGTCAGGATTGGTGCATAGCGGTGGAGTCGTGGGAGGAGCTAACAGAGAGAGTTGTAGTACCGTTCTGGAGCTGAGCCAGAGGAAACTAAGTCGCCTGAGGAACCGGAAGCTGCTGGACGACTGGACCACCGTAGAGGAACTCCTGACGCACGGAACGCGCCTGGGCCCCAGCGGAGACACCCGGCGGCTGCCTACATCGTTGCTCACCGTCACAACTGTATAGCGACACCCACCGAGCGAGTGTTCAGATTGACTTGTGTGTGTGTGTGTGTGTTTGTTGGACCGGCCGCACTACACAAAGCTACCTCCTGACATTGAGGTTTACTGTAGATACAGACGTTTCCGAACACCGTAGTACATTGATTTTTAAATGTTATATTTGCAGTATCTTGTTTTGCATTGTGTTGTGAAGAGATGTTTTATTAGGGAGCGAATTCACTGCAGTTTGATTCGACCGCATGAAGCAATACAACAGATACCGACACCAGACAAAACGAATTTCATTTGGTGCCAAGAAAAGTTTACGTTACGGATAATTTTTAAGGTGGTGCTAACCGTGAGATTTAATTTCTTCGACATGATTTGCAACTAGCCTATAAACGACATCCGAATTACGTCACTTTTGCACAAAATTTAAAGAGTTCCCTTTCCGACTGTCTTCCGCTAGCTAATTTGTGGCGTTAGCACAGCCCCTCCTCCTTTCAATCATGAATCTGATTGTCTGGGAATAATATCGGATAATCTAACGACGGATCGGGAGTCGGATACGCCGCCAGGGCCGGTGATTGGGTGTGCAGGGTTATGCCGGAGATCGGGGAGCAGAAACGTGAGCGCGTGTTGTGAAGTGTGTGGGTTCTTGCACTATAACTGTATTTTTAAAGCTATTTTTCTTGTGCTCTTCACAATTGATGTCACGAAAAGAAACAAAGAACTTTTATAATGACTCGAATAAGAATTATAAGTGGTGTTAACAGAAGTACAACAATTTGGAGAGAAAGACGATCGACGCACTGAACTGTTTTCAGATATTTTCAGCGCACCTTTCCGCAAACAACAAGGTTTCAACTTTACAAGCCCCATGCAACGCAAGCAGAATGAATTCTGCACGAGTTGATAAGCTAAGTTAGACAATGAATGATGTACGCAAATTCGTTCTGATCGCGTTTCATGAATGAGACCTAATTATTTTCCAAAGTAGAAGAAGCAGAAGTATTTTTGGAGTCACCCGTGTCAGCGTGGGATGTTTGCGGATGTTTTTTTTTCTTCTTCTTTGAGCAGAAAATCAGGATTTTTCCCACCTGCACTATTTTTGGCGCACGAGCACTGGAGTGTTTACAATTTTTCCTCACAACTGTGACTCTCTCGCGCTCGTTTCTGAGGTGAATCACGTCATTTCCGCCGTGAGTCAAACGCTGTGAATAATGGATGTGAACAAATGGAACATTAACAGAAAAACTCTGCCTCTCATTGGATTTTGCTTGTTTCCACTTTTAGAAATAATTTTCTAGGAATATGATGTACATGTGGTTGTAATAAAGATGAGATTTTAATTAGCTACTTAAAGAGTGTTGAGTTTTTGTTTTGTGGTAACGTTATTGAAGTGGGCGTTCCTAAGTGAAACGACAACTAACGGTCTCTGAACGGAGCGCGTGAATTCCCGCGCTTAGTTTCCACACACTTTGACAAACGGATTTCCTACCGTTCATGAATATTACATCATTTTATAGAGACTGCACTTTCAACGAGCATCTATGAATTTGTACTACACCGATTTTAAATTCTGACATCGGGTAGTTTTGACAAATAGCCGTAGTTACGTTAATGTTATTTCCAAATTTCATGAATGATTTTTGTCACATAAGAGAGAGAAAAAAAAATCATGTAAGCCACGACAAGTCAAAATTATGACTTCAGTAATTACGACTTTAAACGACCGAAATGACAAAAAGTCTAAATAAGTAGAAATTATGACACAAAGCCATTAATTTAAATGTCGAAATTGACATACTAAATCGAAATGACTTTAAATGTCAAATATATGACATACTATGAGGCAAATAGTCGAAATTATGGCTTTAAGTCTACATTATTAAATACTAAATTATATCCTGCTGAAAAAAAAACTATAGACACCATCACAAAATTTGTAATGGTTTTACTGGTTATAATGGGCCTTGTATTGGTTTTAATGGACCCTGTGGTAATTGGTCACCTTCTATTGGTGGCTTATTGTTAAAACCAATAAATCCTAATGAAATATGTCCCCAAAACACACTACAGAAAACCATTTTTAATGGTTTTAATGTTAAAAGGTGATGGTTTGTAATCATATTAGTAGTGGAAACCATTAGAATTTGGTGTAAACATTTGAAATTGTGACATGAAAAGTCAAAATGACTTTTACATACTTTTATATCATAATTAGGCCTATTAGGTAAAAAAGAAAAAGAAAAAAAGGCAAACCTGACTTTGACTTTTTAAAATATCTTAATTATGACTTACTAAAGCATTATCTTCGTTCTTTCAAACTATTTTGAGACAATTAACAAATACCATGTGAGTAATGTTTTGAGCCTCAAACCAGAGAGAATCTGAACTAAGAAAGTGGAGTTTCTCTCAGAAGTTCACTTACTTTCGTCTGATTTTCACTCTTGAGATGTTTGTGAATAAAACACAGAAACATAAAATGGAATCCAACCTTAGAAAAGCACAAAATGGAACTGAATAACAGAAAAAGGTCTTTCTCCCGCGCTCTTTCATTCACGCTCTGCTTCCATCTGCTGGATGGAAACTGTCAGTGCAGGAAACAAAATGGCGGCTGCTCGCTAGAAAAACACTCCTGAGTGGGTGGATTTATTCCACAGATGTTCTTCATAACCCTGAAAACATTCTACCAAAACACATTTTACACATAGTAGCCACTCTCAAAAAACAAACTGGTTTAATATGTATAAAAAAAACACAACCAGTCTCAGAAATAAAGAAACAAACGCAAAACAAATAAAAGACATGTGACTGAGTATACGACCCGACTAGTGCTTATACACGGAGACAGATCCATCTACTCTAAACAAAAAATACATGATTCCCTCTTCCTATCACTCTCTCTGTGCGAGGAAACTGATCGGATGGGCTTCAAACTGTGGCGTCGTTGATAATACAACACAAGTAATAATAATAATAATAATACAACACAAGTACAGTCCATAGAGTCCATAAAAAAAGAGCGATGTCATTCATCCACACAGACAGGGGGCGCCAGAGGCCTTCAGCTTCAGTCCAAACCCTGAACCTCGTGCTGCTTGTACACCGCCGAGACCAGATTTCCTGAAAGAACAGCATTCGTGTGGTTAAATTAAACTAACTAATATGTAAAATGAATATATTCGTGAATAAAAATCGTTAAATCCTTCAGGTCAACGTAAAGGCCCAAAGAGCGAAGCGACAAAGCAATGCAAATCTGCACCAAAGCTAATTTCGATCCAATTTATGACATAAATCGGCATATAATCGCAAGCAAATCATCATTCGCATGCTTTAATGCAAGATACGAACAATATGAAAACCACAGCTGGGAATCGTACGACTAAACTAAAATTATTAACTAATAAAAATAATTTTCGTTAATTAAAATAAAGCTAAAATATAAATGAAATATTAGATGAAAAACTTAAATTAAAAATGGTGAAGTGAAATAAAATAAGTATCTATTAGTAAAATTACGAAAACTAAAAGCTAAATAGGAAAAATAAAAGAAAATTACGAAAGCACAGAAAAACAAACAAACCTGAAAGTATTTAAATATAATATAATTTAAATTAGGGTTGTGCGATATGGCCAAAAAAATCATCACGATAACACAAAATAAAAAATAAAATATGAAAATAAAATATTATGTTAAACCATCAAAAATTAACATTAAAATAAAAATAATAATAATTAAAATAAAACAAAAAATTACATTCATGTAACAATTAAAGTTAAAACAAAAAATATTTTATTAATGTATAAAAATATTATTTTAAATAAAATTATTACAATTAAACTTTAAAAAATATAAATACATCATAAGAAATACTATAAAGTAATATTAAAATAACCCTGCTGCACAGTCAAATTCACAAACAAATGACTCTTTTGAACTGATTCTTTTAATAACTCGGTCAAAAAGACTCATGAATCATGCCGCTTTTATAAACATACGATTGGCTCATCTTGATTCATATTTGAATCTGAATCTTTTAAAGATTTGCATTCAAAACTAATTTTAGTAGTAATAAAAGCAACGTTTAAAACTGAAACGTCACCAGGAACGGTCTTTGCTTTTGTTTAGTATCTTGACTGAATTATTAGGCCGGTTTTAGTGCGCGAGTTTGGCTGCAGGGCATCATGGGAATGATCGGGGAGGACTGCAGACCTGAAGCATTCGCTCGCACATCGAGGAGGTCAGAGCAGGAAGGACAGGAAGGCAAGCAGGAAGCAGCCAATCACAGCTGAGCTCAAGCCGCAGCGGACCCACAGGGGTCAAAGGTCGTCTTACCTGGCATCCCCAGCCCCTCTGCTCTGTCCCGGTAGACTTTGGGTCTGAACGGAGAGTCTTTGTCTTTACCTTTCGATCCCTTGGGCCGCCCCGCCGCCTTCTTCTTGGACTTACTGTCGCCCTTCACACCCAGCAGCGGATGGACCTCTGCGAGACACGAACGCAGGCGTCAGAGGAAGTGACATCATAAAAAATATCAATTTAAATAAAATTATGTATTAGCATTAAACTATAAAAAATCTAAATACATCAGAATCAATAAAATAACACTGCTGCATAGTCCAATTCACAAACAAATGACTCTTTTGAACTGATTCTTTTAAGGACTCAGTCAAAAAGACTCATGAATCATGCCGCGTTTGTATCATGACTATAAACTAGTGCTTGTCTATCGATTAACTAAAAAAATAACTAATTAATCGCACATTTTTTCTGAAATTAATCGCGATTAATCCCACCTAACGTTAAAGTTTATTAGCATTAAACTATAAAAAAATATAAATACATCATAATAAATACTATAAAAGTATATAAACAATACTAAAATAACACTGCTGCACAGTCCAATTCACAAACAAATGACTCTTTTGAACTGATTCTTTTAAGGACTCATTAATCATGGCTAAAAAAACAACAACTAATTAATCGCACATTTTTTTCTGAAATTAATCGCTATTAATCCCACCTAACGTTAAAGTTTATTAGCATTAAACTATAAAAAATATAAATACATCATAAATAAATACTATAAAAGTATATAAACAATAATAAAATAACACTGCTGCACAGTCCAATTCACAAACAAATGACTCTTTTACGTTAATGTTTTTCAATATAATTTTACACTGCAATAATTTCACTTTCAATCTTCAAATAAATGTAGAAACAAAGTATATTTTTAATATTAGTTTAATACTATCTTTTTTTATGACTGAAGGCAAGTATCACTGATACTGATTGATGTCTCAATGAATTTTTTCCTAATGTTTAACCATTGACTACAGCATTTCAACATTACAGCATAATTGAAAGCTATCAATTTTAAAATTTATTAGACTTTAAAAAATAACTTCTAATTTAAGTGAACTTAAAACCATCTTCACATAAACTGTGCCCTTCAGCAAGTAGAAAATATAATTGAATAAATTTATCAAACACTAAATTCTAAATTAAACACCGAGATAAATTAAAGCTTAAAGCTACAGAAGTTACAGATTTCTTTTTTTTATTTTGTTCTTTGATTAACAGACATCACAGCAGCTGGTAATTAGGATATTTTGGCTGCTGTTACTTTAAGAGCTGCCGCTGCTGAACATGACGCGGATCTGACACTGCTTTAAACGTGACTCATAAATAACAAATACTTACATGCACAGTGTTAAGGCAGATTTAATCGCCTTTTTGTAACTTCATGACTTAACTGACGACATAACTACGACATTCTTTGCTCGTCGTTTCTTTCGTGCTTTTATATGAAAAGTCTGAAAAGTCGCCCATTTGATATGGTCGTAAAGAAGTTCTACATCTAAATAAACGCAATTCTTTAGCAGTTGTGAGTGCGGTGGCCAAACCTAGCTCCGCCCCTGCGTTAATTACGTTAAATATTTTTAACGCGTTAAACTGAAAAAAATTAATCGCCTGCGTTAACGCGCTAATTTTGACACCACTAATATAAAAATATGATTCGCTCAACTTGATTCATATTTGAATTTATATATTATTATATTATATATATTATGCCGAACTGCAGAGCTCGTGAAACATCCACATTACTGTAATCAGATGCTTTCTTAACTGCTGCTTTCTCACCGCTGTCAGTTTTTGTTGTGTTTATTTCGTTATTTAGAGGAAAGCGCACAGCATATATTTACATATTCATCAAACGCCACTCAACAGCTTCAGGTTCGGCTGTGTTTGCGCTGAAGTGCTGTCTTCTTCTCTTGGATTGCATCAGGAGGGCTGAATTACAGTCTTGCGCTACAGCGCCACACTGGTCAAACCGCGTTATTGCAGGCTCTTACATTAGGTAATATGAGATGAGACTACTGGACTACTGGACAACAAAAATATTTGTCGACAATTTTTTATTGTTGATGTTGTCGATAATGTCGATAATCGTTAGGCCAGTTTTTCATCACGAGCGACTCTCTTACCATCGTTTGGGACGCCCTGCAGCTCGATGGTGGTGGTGCGAATCTTCTTCTTGGGTGGCCCTCCGTCGGATGACGGTTGCCGCTGTTTTTTGTCGCCGGGGCCACTGTGGGCGGAGCCGTCGTCGGGCGTGGCGTTCTGACCCGCGGCGTCGGGCGGAGGGCCAAACGGGTTCTCCTCAGGTTCCTCCACCTCCGGAGCGATGGGCAGATACAGCAGCGCTTTAAAGTCCTCCAGCTCCTCATCACTGCAAACGCCGCGAAAAACACTCGATTAAATTTACTGAGAAAAAACAGCAACACTACTATACGACAAAACATAACGCAAAACTCATTTTTTTAATGTAAAAATAGACTGGATTATATAAGAACAAACAAAAACTAAATTAGCACAAACACATTTGCACTGTAAGATAATTAAAAATAAAAATTTCAATTAAAATTTTTATTTCGCGAAAAATAAACTGGTTTAAACAATACGAACCAACAAAAAACGTCAAAATGAACACATGTGAAACGGTATGATAATATTAAAAATAATGTAAATTATAGCAAATTAAATGAAAACTTTATATCGTGAACGTCAAAAACCTGATTAAACGATATGAACAAACAAAAAAATAACGAATACACATTTAAAACTGCGATATTATAAATTATGTAAAATATAGTGAATTAAATTTAAAATTTAATTTAAGATGTTGTTAATGTCAAAAACTTGATTAAACAATACGAACAAACAAAAACAACAAAAAATAAACAAACACTTGCACTGTAAAATAATAATTAAAAATAAAAAAATTTGGCGACTTACATTAAAACATTTTTTGGTGAAAAATAAACTGGTTTAAAGGGGTGGTTGATTGTGATTTAAACAATGAGCATAAACGATATCTGCAAAGTTGCGACGCTGAAAGTTCAATGCAAACGGAGATTTCGTCTTTTATAATTATGGCATTTTAATACCTACAGTTACGGCTCGTAGGAAGTACAACGAGCTACTTCCTGGGTTTGTGACGTCACAAACCCTGATAAACCCCTCCAGCGTTTATAGGAGAAGGGACAGAGCGGTGTGGAATAAAGGTAAATTATGTGAAAAAAATAATGGGTTTTTAAAAAAACGAAGCATGAACACATGTTAGACTGCACCGCATAAACACAATTAAGTACAGAAAAAAAAACAGTCAACCACCCCTTTAAACAATATGAACAAACAAAAACCGTCTAAACTTAAAAATGAACTAACACATGAAACTGTATGATGATATTAAAAATAGTGTATAATCTAGCGAATTAATTGAAAACTATTTTGCAAATGTCGAAAACCTGATCAAACGATACAAACAAACAAAAACGTCAAAACTAAAAAACTAACAAAAACATGTTTAAAAATGTAAAATGCACTTTTTGAATGTCAAAACAAACTAGATTAAACAATATAAGCAATGAAAAACATCCAAGTTTAAAAAACAAACAACTAATACATATGAGAAACAGTATATTAAAAATAACGTAAAATAGTCAAATTTTAAAATAATTTTGCAAATGTGAAAAACTTGATTAAACAATATGAACAAACAAAAACAACTTTTAAGCTGTAACGTATTTAAAAATAACAAAATTTTGCAACTTACATTTAAATTTTATTTTGCGAAAAATAAACTGGTTTAAACAATATGAACAAACAAATGTCAAAAGTAGAAAATGATCAACAAAAACACATTTGTAACCATAATTTGAAAATTATTTGAAATTTTGTGAATTACATTTAACTTTTTTTTTTTGCGGATGTCAAAATAAACGGGATTAAACAATGTGAAGAAACAAAAATGTCAAAACTAAAAAAACAAAAACACTCAAAACTATGATGATATTAACAATAATGTCAAATTATTGGATGAAATTTATTTTGCGATTGTCAAAATTGAATTTAAAACCTGACTAAACAATATAAACAAACATAAACAAAACTAGAAAAAAAGAAGAAAAACACGTATGTGACTATGATATTAAAACGATGTGAAATTTAGCGCGACTGACCTGCTGCAGAACGCTGGGATGGGATCGACTGACGTGACGTCCACCTCCTCGTCCTCTGCAGCGTCCGCACCTGATACACACACACACACACATCAGTGTCACTTACAGCAGTGTGTGTGTGTGTGTGTGTGTGTGTGTGTTTACCGGTCTGCTCCGGTTCGCTCTTGTCCTCGTCCTCGATGTCAAACTCTGATTCTCTCTCCTCGTACTCCACGTTCTCATCCAGCTCTTTAAAGTCTGGCGCAAACGCGCTCCAGTTCTCCTGCAGAGATATATTGCTTGTTTTTGCGCTATTTCGAAAACAAAAGTAATTCCAAACACAGCCACAGCGCTGTTTTGCGTCTCTGAGCAACATGACGGTGTTTTGTTCCTGAATGAATCAACCGTTTAAATGATTCGGTTCAATCGCAATGACTCACTTATTAACAGTGACTTGCTGCCACCTGCTGGCGGTTTTAATTTCACATTTAAAGTACCTTTTTATTATTTAAATAATTTCAAATATCAGTATTCAACGTTTTATGTTTAATATATCAAAACATTATTTATGCATTTGTAATTGTATGTTAAATGCATGCATGTCCTGCATTAAACAGTGTGTAAACACATCTAAATGCCACTGCATTGCACTGAATTTTGTTGATACTGATTTCATTTCCTTGGTAACAGCCCAAATATCTTATTATTCTAATTCACTGATAAAATGTAACAATTTGACTCAAAAGATAATGCACGCTTTATAAAGGTAAAATGCCCATAAAAGGTAAAAATCAGTTTAAACTTATTGGAAAAGATTAATTTCTATCAGTGTGAACGGACCTCCACACAGAATATGAAGAATATCAAAAACTTTAGGAGTCAGCTGTCCACGAAAGTCCTTAAGATACCAGCA